ATCGGCCCTGACAGATTTCTTCAAGCTATTTGTAACTTCAGTCTTTGAGCAGTGATTTTTAGCAACTTAGCTTTTTATTAAGTGAAGGTTTTACTGTTTTGACTATCAGCCCATAACCTCAAGTCCCCTTAAATTAGTACCCTCCTAATTGTCTCTGTTGCTATCAATTATAGTACTTGAAAATGAACCACATCTGAGGAAGAGTTTGTATTTAGTTCAAACAACCCTTTTTGTTCCCCTGACAAGAAGTACGTGTCCTGAAGTGTCATTTCAAGAGTTCTGAGGCTTCAAAAAAATATTTTCCTTTGACATATTCTTTTAGATATTACTCTTACCAGTTTTTGTTCCATATTATTAGAAGGAAGTAAATGAATTAAGGTTAAAGACCTTGCAAAAAGCCAGCCCTTTATGTTTCTAACTTCTACAGCGAAACATTTTTGTGAAAAGACATACGTAAATAAATTAGAAACAAAGGCCATGAAGCATACTTACATGGAAGGAATAGTTTTTTAAACTAAGTTTAAAATGGAATAAAAAGCCATCACAGTCTTTAATCAGTGAAAAATGACTTCAAATCTGTTCTTTTCCATGCCTTTAACAGGTAAGTCTAGTGTTTCTGTTTAACTATAATTCACAGGCAAATGGCTCCATAGTCACTGGTTTTTGGGTGAAAGATGCATTTTGTTCAGTTTTTTGAAGAAGCTCAGATATGTCCCGTTGAGTCAATAAGGGGGGGTGTGAATTACAGTTGCGTTCTCATCCCAGGTAACTCGGGGCCTTGGTGACAAATTTTCATCTGTGCCCACATCTCCCACAATAACTTCATTCATTCAACCCAAGTATATTGAGCCCCTGCTGACTTCCAAGGATGAATAAAATATCATTCCTTCAGTCCAAGAAGGAAGTCAAACAGAAGCATTAGCTTAGTAACAACAGAATCGAACCTTTTCGTATACAGCTAAGAACACTAGGAGTGACAAGTTTATGAGTTTGTCAGTGAATGACTTCACCATGTCCCCACTATTTAGCCTTTTCATCCTATTAGCAGGACAAATTAAATTAGATAGTCCAGTTTTATTAAATAATGATCCCATTCATGTGTATAGTACTGTTACAATATGCTGGCTAACATGGCATACACTAGTTCCATGTGGCTATTTAAATTTCAATTAATTCTAATTAAATTAATGAAAAATCAATAAAAATTGCTTAAATCAGTTCCTCCGTTGCACCAGCCCTATTTCAAGTGTTCAGTAGCCACATGTGGCTCGGAGCTACCCTGTTGGACAGGGTGGACTGCAGAATATTTCCATCATCTCAGAAAGTTCTATTGAACAGCACTGATCTTGAGTTTACAAATCAGTTTCAGCTACATTCTTCCCCTTGATCCTCACAATAATCCTGTAAGATGGCAAGGTGTACACTGTTATTTATATCCATAAGGATGAGGAGATTGAGGTGCTGGGGGTTAAATAATGTGTCTTTGCACAGACTTTAACTTCTGGAACTTCCCTTGGGAGCAAACAAATCCAAGTAAAGATTAATACTATTATCTACAAATCTCGATCTTCAAATATAAGTAATTTAAAGGCAGAGATGTGGTCTAGCTTGCTCACTGTTGTATTCCAGTATCTATTCCAGAGAGTGGCACAAACTAAACACTCAGTGGCTACTAATTAGATGAATGAATAGGTGTAATTTTTGGTCCAAACAGAATTGACAGGAATTTAATGGAAAATTTAAAATATGAATATCCATGTCAAAGCTGGATTAACAGGTTGTAATTATAATTCTGGTTAGCAAAAGAAAAAAAGACTGAAACTTATACTGTTTATTCTGTTTGTGATCTCTTTTTTTGGTCTAGTCATAGCGAGGGAATGGTAAGTTTTTTTTCTACTCCTTGCTGGGTTCGACCATTTGAAAAGTTTGAAATAATTCTCTGAATGTGTAGGTGCTGTTTCCTGGCAATAAGATTCAAGAAATTGTTGTTGCAAACACTTATTTTGTATTAACTGTTGTTGCTGTGTATTTGTATTTAACCTAGGAAAGAATTGTTTTAAGTTAAATTTATGGATCGTGAAAATACAGTGAATATGGTCAGTAGTCTTAGGTATGGTCTCCTAAAATAATAAATTATGTTTTATTTTAGAATGGCATTTAAATGATATGCATCAGTTTATTTCACTATGACTTAGGTGTCCATCTCTTACAAAGAAAGTATAAAAGTGGCCACAAGGGTAGCCTTTAAATCTTTTTGAAAGAGCAAAGGAATAGAACACTAAGTAACAATGTTTCCCAAAGTTGGCTTTTAATAAATTTTTACATATTTTTATAATGGCTATACTAGCTTTAAGTAATATAAAACTAGCTTTAAGCTAGTTATACTAGCTTTAAGTAGTAGAAAAACTAATATGATTTACTGCTATTTACCAAAAAGACAAATAGATAACCTTATAGAAGTGTCAGTATTATTGTTCTTGTCATTAAATGAGATCCTTGTGTTTTTGTTTGCTTGCTTGGGTGGTTTTGAAAGAGCATCTTAAATAGTAATGGAGCTGGCTGGTTTTTCCTGGGTAAAAACACAACCTGTAGACACACAAATACGACCAACTTAAAAAATTTAATGAGGTTTTCATGGTAACTTAGTTAATCCTAAACCAAAATGAGATACTGGAAGTTTTGGGGGTTTTTTCGTTTGTCTGTGTACCACACGGCCTTTCTTTCACGGTCTCTTCACCTGATAGTAGTCATTTTTAGCCTGGATTTTTTAATTTTTATTTTTAAAGTTTTTGTCAAATACTGGAAGTGATGCTGTGATGCTTAGTAGTAACTTTGATTCGCTTCAAAGTCCTATGTTTAGGGGTTCCTTAGGCCTCTCTCAGTGCTCCTTGTTCAGCCCTTTCAGGGTAGACATGGAGTATGTGGCTTGGAGATTGCAAAATCAAAGATACAGTGATGATGTGTTGTGGTTTCTCAGGAATCCCTGTTCTACAAGCAGAAGTTAAAATCATTTTATGTTAGGAAGATCGACAACTCTGAAGCAGTGTGGTAGCTAAAGCAAGAAAATTTTGGTTTACTGGTTTTGCTCACATGAGAGAAGAAGGGCATACTTCTGCATTTGCCCCTTTCGATTCAAGTTGAAGTTCCTGAACAAAGTCACCAGAGTTGATGGCATCCCACTGAAATGCTTTGTTTTGTTTTTGGAAACAAGGTTCCTCCTCACCCCTAGTGAGCTGGGAAATAGATGGAGGGATTTTGCAATATGATGACATCAAGGGCACATTTTGGTGGTTCTAGTCCGTGAAATGCTAGGTTAGAAGGGTATATCGGCTGTATCCTCATGCGGTCTGGCTTTGACATCTCTCACACAGCCAGTGGCCAGGCTGCTGGCTGGGAGGGTGCCCCCCTCTTCCCCTTCTGGTTAGATGATGCCTTGTTGTTGTGGACAGATGGGAGTCTGTGTGCTTGCCATGGTGGATGTAGACATCACCCAAAGTGAAACGTTGTCATCCTTCACTTAAAGGCTGTAGGAGATGTTTGTAAATTATTACCTTAATGTACAGTAAGTGTTGAGCTGCTCCTGTGATCATGCACATTTCCGGGAACTGTAATATTGGAAACAAATGTAGAGGTGGCCCCAGCTGCATAATTCTTGGCCAGACAGGTTAAATCTTTTGATCAATCTCACAACCTCTCTTTAAGTGGCAGAATGGACTATATTCTTAGTCCTGTACAATAGAGGTGCAAGCGTATTTCTCAATGCGCTAAAGGAATATTATTTGCATATTAAGTAGAACTTCTTAAATGATTTTTGAGATGCTTGAGACTTTCCTCATGGAGTGATTTGGATATGAGCAGTGACCACACGTGTCACTTTTGAGCAGCTGTTGAAGAAGGCAGAACATGATTATGTCACGTGCTTAATCTATTACATCTGGTAGCTAGAAAAATTCACATATTCTCTGATAGTTAGAAGAGGAAATCTCTCCCTTTTTTGGAGCATTTCTATCAAAAACTCTGTTTTAAACCAGGAATTTTGGTTACTCACCGGTGGCGCTTAGTTCAGCTGCCCTTTGCAGGGCACACAGAGGAAGGAGGAAGGATTTTATATAAAGTGACTTTTGAATGCCTTCATTGCCCTAATGCTGTACAGTTTTATAATTTTGGATAGAAAGGAGAGCTGTGATCGTTTTTGTGGTGAGCCTATTTTATTTTGGACTTTGAACATCCCCATGACCCGCTGAGACAGAGCCTTGATCAGATGAGGCCCTGGAAGGTTTTCTTCTTTTCCTTTATCCTAGGTTGGGAAACATTTTAAACTTTTCACATTAGACCTTCACCAAGACTTCAGGTCCACCACATTCATTTCATTTTTGGTTTAAAGGTCCACCGCATTCATTTCATTTTTGGTCCAAGAGTGCCTGCTTGGGCTTTAATCATAAGGCATTTTGTGTGGTCATTTTAGCACCTTTATTTTACCCAAAAGGTAGACTTCATCTTTGCCCAAAGCTTCATTGCTATAGGAACTGAACAGAGGATTTCCTTGGAGAATGTCTGCATTGAGTAATCTCTAAGCAAATGCCTCTAGTTTTGACAGCAACCCTTAACTTCATGAGAGGAAATCCACTGTGATTTGGATACTTCTGCAAGCATGTGGTTTGAAGGAGACAGTAGTAAAACCTACTTACTTGAAAATTGTTTTCTTGGCTTTTTAAGAAAAGTATTTATTAAATCCATTGAATTAGTTATAGTCCTCTTATTACTTATCTTTATCTGTTACTTTGGCCAGAAATGTTTAGCATAATGAGCCTCTCAAAGAGTAGCTATTGAGACATGAAGAGTGCATTTCTTTGGCTCTGATTATTCAAGTGATTTCATAATAAGCAGAAGTACTATTGTATTTTTTGATGTGGAATACTTGGCAATATTCCCTCCTCCCTCCTACAGAGAGCACGAAATTAATGATACCTTTCAAGTAACATCCATGTCTTCTGTACCAGGTCACTTCGGGTGGAACATTCATTGGCATCGGACGGAAAACTCCAGATTGCCAGGGAAACACCAAGTACTTCCGCTGTAAATTCTGCAATTTCACTTACATGGGCAACTCCTCAACTGAACTAGAACAACATTTTCTTCAGACACACCCGAACAAAATCAAAGCTTCTCTCCCCTCCTCTGAGGGTGCGAAACCTTCAGAGAAAAACTCTAACAAATCCATCCCTGCACTTCGGTCCAGTGATTCTGGAGACTTGGGAAAGTGGCAGGACAAGATCACGGTCAAGACGGGAGATGACACTCCTGTTGGCTACTCAGTGCCCATCAAGCCCCTCGATTCCTCGAGACAAAATGGTACAGAGGCCACCAGTTACTACTGGTGTAAATTTTGTAGTTTCAGCTGTGAGTCATCTAGCTCGCTTAAACTGCTAGAACATTATGGCAAACAGCACGGAGGAGCGCAGTCAGGCGGCCTTAACCCAGAGTTGAATGATAAGCTTTCCAGGGGTTCTGTCATTAATCAGAACGATCTAGCCAAAAGTGCAGAAGGGGAGCCAATGGCCAAGGCAGACAAGGGCTCTAGTGGGGCTAAAAAGAAGGACTTCTCCAGCAAGGGAGCAGAGGATAATATGGTAACCAGCTATAATTGTCAGTTCTGTGACTTTAGATACTCCAAAAGCCACGGCCCTGACGTCATTGTAGTGGGGCCACTCCTCCGTCACTATCAGCAGCTCCATAACATTCATAAATGTACCATTAAGCACTGTCCCTTCTGTCCCAGAGGCCTTTGCAGCCCAGAAAAGCACCTTGGAGAAATTACTTACCCATTTGCTTGTAGAAAAAGTAATTGTTCCCACTGTGCACTCTTGCTTTTGCACTTGTCTCCGGGGGCAGCCGGAAGCTCGCGAGTCAAACACCAGTGCCACCAGTGCGCGTTCTCCACCCCTGACGTAGATGTCCTCCTCTTCCACTACGAGAGTGTGCATGAGTCCCAAGCTTCGGAGGTCAAACAGGAAGCCAACCACCTGCAAGGATCGGATGGGCAGCCGGCTGTCAAGGAAGGCAAAGAACACTCATGCACCAAATGTGATTTCATTACCCAGGTGGAAGAAGAGATTTCCCGACACTACAGGTAAGCCATCGTCGGGGGGTGGGGAGGAGCAATGTCAAAGAAAATGATCCAAAGAATCCAGAGAGCTGATCCCAGAATCGTTGGGAATGAGGGTGGTGACTTGGGGAAGTTACAGGAGAAGTAAACATAAAAGATCGTTCATAAAACTGCAGATTATGTATTTATCGAGGTGGTAACCATGGATTTTAATTTGGTCACTTGTTTCAGACCGTTTACTCTTATACTTCATACCCGTTTTCTGCCGTTTGCGGGGTGTCTTTTACAATCTATGGTGATGACGGTAATGCTGATGAAGTCACCCATTTACCACACAAGTCATGGATTTGTCCTTGCTGAGTGGCTCTGCATCCCATTGTTTTTGATGGGGCCACTCCCAAATGAAAGGTGCCATTATCATGTGTTCTCTTCTCTATTCCAACTGGGAAGCAATCAGCTTGAGAACAGGTTGCTCATTTTTCTTTTAAAATGAGATTGGACATTCTTCTGGCTTTAAAAAAATTTGAGCAACATCCTCATTTCTCAAAGAAACAGTAATCTGAAGGTGAGAATTCTGCAAGAGGTGTGACTTTGAATTTCTCTATGCTTACTCCTCTGAGTGGGTAAAGCCACAGTTATTACAGATCCATAAACAGAGATACAAGATACATTCATGGTTTTTTTTTTTATTTTCGTCCTATTCTCTTTTTAAATGTTAACTTTTCCCAGTTAATCTTTCATATTTTCTTTTTTTTTTTAAGATTTTGTTTATTTATTTGACAGAAAGAGAGAGAGAGCACAGGCAGGGGGAGTGGCAGAGGGAGAGGGAGAAGCAGGCTCCCCTCTGAGCAAGGAGCCTGATGTGGGACTCGATCCCAGGACCCTGTGATCGTGACCCCAGCCGAAGGCAGTCACTTAACCGACTGGGCCACCCAGGCGCCCCAATCTTTCACATTTTCTAAAGATGGGTTTAGGATACATCTCTTTATTTCATTTATGCATTAATTCCTTAAGGAATTAGCTCCAAAAATACACATTGTGCCAGGCATTGATGATAAAGGAGAAAACAAGACCAACCTAGTCTGTGCCCACATGGAACTTACAGTTTAGTAGGGAAGTCATTAATGGATCATTATAAGTACAAGTGTCACAACAGATGAAGTAGAGATCCCTGTGTTTGAATAGAATGACCACAAAGCCCAATATGGTAGATGAGGAGCATTTAACCTGAGGAAGGAGCCTGCCTGAGGAAGAAGCATTTAACCTGAGACTTGGCCATATGAGGGGAATTTGTTTAGCAAAATCCTGGTAATACAGCACGTTCAGATGTTACTTAGTGCTCAGTGGGTGCTTTCTTGTTATTGTGCCTCTAAGCATTACTATTTTTAAATGTTTTTCCCTCTGTAGACTCAGTATCCTAGTTTAAAAATCTTCCCATCCCAAGATTTTAAACAGTTTCTTAAACAGATTTTATTTTCCCATCGCAAGATTTTGAACAGTTCCTCCCATTCTTTTTAGGAGTTGTGTGTCAGTGTGAGTGTGTGTGTGTTGTCAGTCACCAGTAATGAAGCAGTTCATGTCCAACAATAGGCTAATAATGTTAGATGTTAATTTGAAGGGCATCCTAATGTTCACAGTGAATCTAAATGTTCAGAAAACACTTCCTTGAGATTTACACTGTTTAATTTATAAGGTCAGCCCTAGGAAAGACACGGTCCTGCAATCAAATATGTGTTCACACTTGTAGTGAGTGTTCCTGCCTCCTCTGATGTTAGCTGCATGCTAATTTATTTCTGGACTAGCAGACATTAGCTTCCTCCTGAGCTTTACTGGTGTGCATATACATTTGTTAGGTGGTATAAAAATCAGGTAATCCATTCTGTTTTTGAAAGAGGAGGCTTTCCTTAATCGTGAGGAAATTAGCCACACCGCACTACACCACACAACACCGCACGTGCGTGTGCACACATACACACTGATACATCTGGATACCAGATCACTTGCAAGAGTGGCTTTTTTTGAGGAAGCTGAGGCCATTGCTTGAAAATGTGTCTGGAAAAGCAGAGTTTCTATATGCTTTGGTTAGACAAAAAAAAAAATCTCCCAAGAAATAAAAGTATGAATAAAAATATTACTGAATAATCTCAGAGTTTAGTTAATAGTAATGAAAATAAGCTCTTGAGGAAAGAAACTAGTCTTGTTCACTGCCATATCTACACAGTTTAGCACGGTGTCACAATGGCTAATAAGTGCTCAGTGAGTAGGTCTTTAAGTAAATGAAATGCCAGTGAGTTTTTTACTTCACAGTCGTTAAGGATAAGCCAAGATCTCCATGGCAAGTTACAGTTTAATCTCAGACTATTATATAGTCTTGAAACCCTTCTGAAGATTTAGGGCTCCACACCAAATGACAGTTGTCCGTGCATTTTGAATTTAAGTCAGCCTTGTAGATTTTTTTAGATGAGAAAACTGAGCAGTACTTGTTTCTAGGGCATTAAAATCCTCCTGCACTTACTTTTTAAAAAGATTTTATTTATATATTAGAGAGAGAGAAAGAGCGAGCATGAGCGGGGTGGGGGGCTGGTGGGGAGGGGCAGAGGGAGAGGGAGAAGCAGACTCCCAGCCGAGCAGGGAACCTGACACCGGACTTGATCTCAGGACCCCAGGATCAATCATGACCTGAGCTGAAGGCAGACGCTTAACTGATTGAGCCACCCAGGAACCCTATTCCTGCACTTATTATTAAAACCTGCTCTGGGGCGCCTGGGTGGCTCAGTCATTAAGCGTCTGCCTTCAGCTCAGGTCATGATGCCGGGGTCCTGGGATCAAGCCCCACATCGGGCTCCCTGCTTGCCAGGAAGCCTGCTTCTCCCTCTCCCACTGCCCCTGCTTGTGTTCTTGCTCTTGCTGTGTCTCTCTCTGTCAAATAAATAAATAAAATCTTTAAAAAAAGAAAACCTGCTGTAATTCATGTGGTCCTGGATTGAGGTACTGAGTAGTTTTTCTCTGATCTGTTTATGAGTTCTTGTAGAAATATTTGCAGTTTGGAGACTTACACTTTCAGAAATTCTACTGAAAGTTGAACAACAGTGAAGGTTCTAGGGATTTGAAAGGAGATAGTCCTGTGGATGCTGAAAACTTGTTCTGCTATTAAAGCATTTTCCCCACATGCTACATTTTGAAGATAATATAAGAGGACAAGTTTACCATATCACAATAATATTTTTCTGGTTAAATTTGTGTTTATTCATATTCATGTTTGGAAACTTTCTCCATAATTCTCTTGTAACTAGGGAATATTCTAGGCTTTTGAGTGCTTTATGTATAAGTCTTATGGTGTAGTAAAAAGGTAGTAGAAGCTAAAATCTATAAAATACATGAAATCAGGTAGCTATAAAAAAAAACTACAGCTGAGAAGCAGGGAAGTTGATTGAGAGTTACGAGTGAAAACTTTGGTGTGGATTCCACTCAGTGGGCATTTTCAAGAATCACGTTTAATCTTGGTTGAACTGCAAACATTATTCAGTCAGTAACTGGAACTTGGTCAATTCTCTTTTCTTAATGTTTCATATTTACTTATGTTACCCCTAGCTCACATTTGACTGACTTACTATGTTCTACTCCTGAATTTGTTCCCCACACTGTTTGTTTTATTATTTATTATTTAATTAAACAGTGTATCCATTCTCTAATTGATTACCTACTGTTCTCCTCACCAGAATTTTTTGTGTTATAACTTGGGTTTCTGAAGTAAGTAGGAGTACCATCTCCTCACAAAACAACTATAGTAGATAAAACATACTTTTCAAAAGCCTTGCTAGACTTCCATGAGTTAGAGAAATTTCTGAAGCTTTTCTCGTCTTCCCTTTACCAAGAGTGGACTAAACCCAGACTGGGGAGAAGTGAATAGCAAGCGTGGAGTGTGATGTTGTGCTGAGACAAATACCAGTATTGATGGTCAGTCAGGAGACTACACCTGGAGTCATTGACAGCAAGCGGCTGCTGAATCTGTTTTACGTTAAGCTGGACCTTGAGGGTGGCTGAAGTGATTCCACATTTAGAGCCTCCTCTGACTCCTGTCAGAAATAAACACAAGTTTGTCTATATGAAATACTCCCAGTTTTCACCTCCATGATATCTGTGGCAGAAGATAAACCTTAGATGAGCCCATTATTATAGAAATTAACCATACAGGAAGGGATTTAAACCATTCCATGGGAAATCAGTGGGAATTGCAAATAATGGATCTAGATACCCAGGAAAATGATAAATTATAAGAATATAATATATTCTTAGTTATAAGAAAGCTATAAAATATAATACTTTTCAGTTATAAAAAAATAATGTATTTAAAGAAATGAAAATCAGATTTATAAATTGATCAAACTCCATGAGACTATAAAGGATTAGAAATGTTCAAGAAAAGAAACAAATAGTATCTTTTGAATTGAAAATATAATTATTGAAACTTAAAACGTGGATAGGTTCAATAACAGATTGGCAAATGATAGAAGGCAAATGAATTAATCACAAGTTAAATCTGAAGACATTAGCCAAAATATTTAAAAGAGGGGGAAGGAAAATATCAAAAGTAGACCGTAGGTTATAGAAAGGTAATAAGCTGTTTTAACCTGCATCTAATTAGAGTCCCAGGAGAAAAGAATACAGAGAGTGGAAGATAGGCAAATAGTATTTGAGGAGATAATGGCAGAAGATTTCTAGAACTGAAAGATGAAAGACATCAGCACACAGATACAGAAAAGCATAGCTTATACTAAACAGGGACCTATGCAAATAAATTCAGTCACAGACACGTTGTAGTAAAAATTAAAATGCCAGGGAGGTCCTTTGAGAGCCCCTAGAGAGAAACAACATGTCAAGTACTTAGAAAAGACAATTAGGTTGACAGCAGAGTTTATCAGCCATGATGGGAAACAGAAGAGGGAGGAATTCTATTTAAGGTTTGAAAGGAAAAAAAACAAACACAAAAATAGTCAACCTAGAATTGCCTACCTGTGAAAACA